TCACAACAAAAGCTTTGTTATCTTGCTACTTTTGCTTTTATTTTATAATACATTATCAATACGATTGTCTCCACTATCCAATTCATAGTAAAATCTTGAGGTAAATCTTTATTTTTCTATTTTTAATTTGTTTTCATATTATATTAGTATTTGAAGAATTTTTATAGTTAAAATGCCAAACTTGACAAAACTTAAGTTTGCTATACTTGACATATTGGATTTAAATTATTTCTCATAAGTACTTGATGCTACAAACAATCTTAGAGAAATAATTGTTGAAGGAAACAAAGCACCCTTGCAAGATCCTGCTAAAGCAACAATATTCCTTTATCTTTCTTTTCATTGGGGATTAAGGGCTAAATATTTGAAAAAAGATTCATTAAAATTATGGCAAAATATGAAAAAAAGATACAATCACTAAAAATCAATGATTCTTCCAAAAGCTTATTATTAATGGATCCATATGTGATTATAAGATTTTAAATATATTAGTAAGTATAACTCCATAGTGTTTCAAATTTCATTTCAATTAAAATTATGTGGAGAAGATATGTTGGAGAAAACATTCTCCACCCTTCATGCCTCAAATTTGCTTCTTTAGCAATAATATCAAAAGAGTAGTTTTAAAAAGTGTATAGAATTAATACTATATCTTCTTGTTGTTGAACAAAATAATGAGTTTTTCATAAACAAAATCATCCATCATGACCTACCTTCTTAGCCCATTACTTGAAGTAAATTTAATCTCATATGATAATAATGGGCATCACCATAATCATGGTCATGGCAACAACTATGGTCAAGGGCATCATCTATTGTTTCTTGAACATTCTTCTCCATCTCCACATCATGTTATTATTGTGCTTTAGTCACAAAATCAAATAAAATAATAATTAATGAACTTATCAAGAAATATCAATAAGAAAATATTATTTAAATAAGTATGAAAAATTTATTTACTTTCAGGTGATTCACACCCTTATGGAAAGTAGATCAATTGGTGCAACAAAGATACATATAGTATGTCGCTTCAGAATGCTACAGTTTTATAATAATACTTTATAAATTTGCACTACTCATAGAGTCACTTAAGTCAAAACATCCTTCTTTACCCAAAAATATTTTGAAAATAGAGGAAGATAAGAAAGCAAAAGAATGTGGAGGAACTCCCTTAGTTGAGCAAAAAGACATGTCTTATTTATAGGACTTATGATTTTGTAACTTCCATTTGTAGGTTAATGATAGAAATAAATTGGGTAATTCTTATAAAATAATGTCCCCTTAATTAGGATAATTAACTTACAACGGTTAATTTAACCAAGTTTTAATGAGATAATAAATTCAATTTATAAAATATATTATTTTATTTTTATTAAAATATTTAAATTCTAACATCATCATGATTGAAATGACACTTGATATTGCAATTATCTTACCTCTAAATATGAATTTGCTAAAAAAAAAAAAAATTAGCAATAAAAACTTATGAAAGAACCCTATAAAAGATCCTAAAAATATTTGTTACAAATGTTGAATGAAAGGACATTAGAAGCATACTTGCTATATAGTTAAGCATTTAATTGATCTTTTATCAAGCCTTGCTTAATAAATGGCTCATTTGGTATAGTAGTTTGGGAGTGACGATTAGCAATTTCACCCAAACCGCTAAGGATGGGTATTTAGTAAATTTGTATATTTCAAAACTACTACGAACAAAGTGTTCAGTAAAAATTTTTATTTAGTAATTTAGGACTAATGAATAACAATTAGGATTCAAATCACTAATAAATTGAAAAAGCTAGTTTAGATTGATTTTTGTATTAAATTGTTAGAGAATTAAAATTTTTTTAATTTTATTGATAAATTTATTCATTCTAATTTTTTAATTTTTTGCCACGTTTTTGTATTTGTACTTATTTAATTAGTTTCAACTTCTTTTTTCTCTTTTTATTATGTTTATAATTTTTATATTAATTTATCATAAAAAA